CCTCTAGGGCGTATCATGCTCTGTTTATGCAAAACATGCTCGTGATGCCGACACCTGAGCAGTTGAAGGACTTTGGGAATCCCGATTTCATCATATACAACGCCGGCTGCTTCCCGGCGAATCGCTTTACCTCTGGAATGACCAGCAGTAAGTGAGGGACTCGGCGTGGTTGGTGTGCCGCCGAGAATTACTCTCATGTTTCGACAGGTACTTCCGTGTGTGTACATTTCCAACGTAGAGAGATGGTCATCTTGGGCACGGAGTATGCTGGGGAGATGAAGAAAGGCATTCTCACTTTAATGATGTAAGTCGATCTATGTGGACCCTGTCGGCTCCTCGCTCGTGTTTTGTTCTACTCGTCACCATCCTCGGGTCACTCCTCCATTATTAGCCGCGTTCGTTGCCCGGTTCCCTGTATCGTATCTAGTGGCTGGGATGGTGATTAGGTATGCGATGCCGATGAAGATGCAATTGCCACTACACTCCTCTTGCAACGTGGGGCGCGAGAACAAGGACGTGACGCTATTTTTCGGCCTGTCTGGTGGGACGGGCGACGAACTTGCGCAGTTTTGAATTATTATTCATGTCTCTGTAGGTACTGGTAAGACTACGCTGTCGGCCGATGTGAAGCGCGATCTACTGGGTGATGATGAACATGTATGGAGTGACACTGGTGAGCTATAGACACCGTCTGTGGTAGGACATGGTTGGTATCGGTCAGGCGTCTTCAATGTCGAGGGAGGTTGTTATGCGAAGGCTATCGATCTCACTCACGAGAATGAACCGGAGATCTTCGATGCGATTCGTTTTGGCGCGGTGAGTATCTTTGCGTATCTTTATAGTTGGTATTATACGGATCTATACAGGTCCTTGAGAATGTGGTTTTTGATGCTAGTACTAGAGTCGTGGATTACCATGATACCAGTGTGACGGAGAATACTCGATGTGCCTACCCCCTCAGCCACATACCTAACTCTATTATCCCCGCAGTGGTGAGGTTCCTAATGATCGCTCAGTGATGTCGGCATGGCTACGGTCAGGTTGATAATCATCCATCCAACGTGGTCCTGCTCTGTTGTGATGCATTCGGTGTTCTACCCCCTGTCTCGGTCCTCGATCCCGACCAAGTCCAGTATTACTTCATATCGGGCTACACGGCTAAAGTGGCGGGTGAGGAAGATCTCGGCGGCGATCTTATGACGAGTTGTGATCGCTAGGTACGGAACAGGGCATCACTGAACCTACAGCGACGTTCTCCGCTTGTTTCGGAGCGCCCTTCTTGGTCTGGCATCCGGTTGTTTATGCGGAAATGCTCTCGCATAAGATCCAAAAGCACAAGTGTAAGCTCGTC